CCACCATATGTTGTAGATAGTTCAGGAGGTTAACTCGATCAAGCAGTCTTTGGGTTTCGGCTAAGTACTGTTTAGAATACCAGAATAGGGAGGATGGTGTAGGTTTAAGTTTATTAGATTGATACATATGAACCAACAAGACAGTGTACATCACTGTGACAACAGTATTTGTTTTCATTCAAAGGCTTTATGGTTTTTCCTATAATACCTGGTGGGCCGGTCTCTAGTCAAATTGCCCGGGCTAATTTTTTTGTCCCAGTCCAGCCCTGGGTCTGGGCATTCCTCGCTGCACTGTACATCATACACTACGTTGTTAAGTTTGTGTTTAGGAGTTTTGTCTTTGGGATGAAGCAGTTTTTGTCTGAGTTTGTGGATGGGTCTTAAGTAAGCTGGGATGTCGTGCTTGGAGAAAACTCTCCTGAGTTTCTCTGATAAACCTGCTACATAGGGGATGACAATTTTGTTCCAATTGTTCTTCTTATCCTCCTTAGTTGGTGTCTGATCTTCTTTTCTGTGCATCTTTGCTGACTTGATAAAAGCCCAGTTAAGAAAACCACGTTTTAAGAGCTTTCTTTACATGTGTGTGTTACCTCTTTTTCCCTTCAGGCTTAGAGGGAATATTTTTGCCTGGTGTTGTAGGGTCCGGATTACTCCACGTTTGTGTTCCAAAGAGGAGGTACTAGTCCGTATGTGTGGGCTTCCGGTAAACTTTAATGTTGAGGTTTCCATTCCCTTCAATGTGCACGGCACAGTCCTGGATTGGCAAACAGTTATTCTTTGTGTCTTCCCTGGTGAACTTTGTTTTTATCCACAGCCTTGATGTTTGCAGTGAAGGATACTTCTTGAGTTTTGATTTTGACCCAGGTGTCGTCCGCATAGCTGTAGCAGTGGCTGGGCCAATTTGTTTCCCCTCTCTGATATGTTTTTATATACATATTATGCTGACTTTTTAACTCTCTCATGCCCTTCTTCATATTTTAATGTGAATGGAAGAGTGAAACTTGAAAATGACTGAATTTTAAACAAAGAGGGGCACAAGAAGTCAGCTTCAAAGACTGCAGCTCCT